AAAAATGCAAACCACGAGAGATTACTATATGATCCGCGTTCAAAGCCTAAAGGATTTCTTGTTGGACATTTAAAGTGTTGTCTCAAAAATGGAGCAAGTGGAACAGTTACTTACGAACTCAAATCTTGATTTACTCTGCTTATCGGAAGCGTGGTTGACCAAATTATCCCCAAAAACTGCATCTCATTCCGGGATATAAAGTCTTCAGAAAGGATCGACAACTTGGAAAAGGTGGTGGATTGCTAATGTAGGTGAAGGACGGCATTAAATGTACGAAAATAGATTTTAATTCCGTAAAGGATATAGATTATATTTCTGTAACAGTTGTTTTATCTCAATTTACTGTAATAGGTATATATAGACCTCTTTTATCAAAGAGTGGAGTTTATGATAATTGTAAAAACCTTATGAAAGATCTCGACCCAAAAAAAGAATTAATCTTGGTTGGAGATTTTAACATTAATTGAAATGAAAAGTTACATAGGAAAAAGCTTCAGGGAATAGTAAGCAGTTTTGACCTAGGGCAGTTAATTCGGGCCCCTCTAGAATCATCTGAAACCCAAATTGACTTGATCTTTAGCAATAAACCAGAAAGAGTAACAAAGTCAAACTCATTAACAGGGATATCAGATCATAATCTTGTAATCAACAAGATAAAAGAAATGTGTTAAATGTTATGCCAAAAAAAAGCTTAAAAATTAATTTGAATAATCAAAAAATTAGATTGAAGTGAGATATTATCTACAGATACTCTAGAAGATACATCCGAGTGTTTAATGGCAGAAATTAATAAAACCAAAAGTAAATTTAGTAGAAATATCAACTTCTCTAAAAAAAATTTTAAAAAAAAAAAGCTAAATTTACCTTTGTTAAATGAACAATTGTGGGAATTAATGAGATAGAGGGATCATGCCCTAAAGAAATCAATTAAATCAGGGTTAGCCCATGATAAAAGAACCTTTCAGCAACTGCGTAATAAAGTTGTAAAGGAAGACAAGCAAAAGCAAACTTTTTTTATTGATCTTATAAACAATGCAAAAGGGAAAAGTAGGGAAGTATGGGAGGATATTAATAAAGTGCAAAAAAAAGATAAATATTAATAATAAAGCCATTGATTTACAATCTCAGGGACGTTTAATTCAAGATAAGTATCAAATTGCTAGGTTATTTAATAATTTTTTCATAAATTCAGTCCAAGATTTAGCACAAGGATTTAGTTTAAGAAGTAAAGATATTACATTGCCAAATTATGATTTTACTGTTTTTAATATTTCTGAAGTATCTGAATCTTGTGTACTAAAAAGTTTGTCAACTCAGGAGTTCTAGAGCTAAAGCATTTTTTTTTAAGTATGCAAATGTTTTTAGTACACCTTTAACTCAACTTGTTTACTTATCAATAAGACAATCTTATGTTCCAAGTGCCTGGAAGTCAGCAGTATAACACATTTAAGACTGGAGATCCTACTAATCTGGCGAATTATAGACCTATCAGTATTTCACCAATTGCCTCTAAAGTAATTGAAAAGGTTGTTTGTAATCAGCTGGTAGAGCATTTAAAATTAGGTAAATTTCAATGACACTTTATGCAGTTTGGATTTAGAGCATGTCATTCTACGGAGACCGCAAAGTGTTACTTTATTGAACAAATTAAATCCAGTCTAGATAGGGGTGGAGTTGTTGGTGCTGTCTTTCTTGATTTTAAAAAGGCTTTTGATAATGTTAACCACAACGTACTTTTATCTAAATGATCAAGGTTTAATTGTTCTGTTAATGCATTATCATGGATGGAGTCATTTAAATTAAGATAGCAACGTACAACAATTAATGGTGCATGCATTGCTCACCATTCATCAATTGTAATTTTGGAGTTCCACAAGGATCAATTCTTAGACCATTTTTGTTTAGTTTATACATTAATGACTTGCCTACAGTGTGTCCACAAGTTCAGGTTCAAATGTATGCAGACGACACATATACTCACGCAAAAACCAAAGAATATGCTGCTAACGAACTTACTGCTGCACTCAAATAAGTTTCATACTGGTTATATCACTCATGTCTTACCCTCAATGTAGGTAAAACTGTGGGAATGTTTTTTTCAGTTAAGAAAAATGAGGAGCATTGCTCGGATATTTTAGTTAATGGAGAAGTATTCATTTTAAATACTTAGGTATAATTATTGACTCTAATTTAAAGTTTAAAAAACACATGAAGGTTACCAAAAGTGCTAAAGCGAGCCTGAGGATTTATAGAAACATTAGGCATCAGTTACCTATGGCTGCTGCTAAACTTTTTATGAATACAATGAATTTACCTCACTTATCTTATTGTGCTACAAGCTGGTCCCACACGAACATTACAACATTAAAACCATTGTATGTTATATATAAACAGTTGAAATTTTAGCTAAAATGCCAAGGAGCTATCATCATTGTAACTGTATTGCACAACAAAAATTGCTAACATTCCACAGTTTCTTATTTTATGCTGATGTGTGTTGAACTATTTCATGATCTTGCACCACCACCCCTCAAACATTGTGTGATTGTCGGCAAGGACAATATAAGACAGACATGGTCATCGGTTAGAGGTGATAGATAACGTAGAGGTGATAGAGCAGAAAGATCGAATAAAATAGCAGTGTATATCAGAGAGAGCAGCACTTTTATTCATTTTAAAACTGTTCTTAAAATTTGGCTTAAACAAAATAAATCAAATATGCAGCCACTGATTTGATTTCATTTTATTGACAAATGATGTATTGTATTTATTGTACTGTAAGTGTATATTGTATTGGTTATTATTGTTAAATTTGTTACTTCCTGCTCAGGGACTACAGATGTAAATTAGCTTTATAGCTAACTTTGGCACAACATGTAATGTTATACATTGTCCCTGTATAAATAAATAAAATAAATAAGTAAAAAATAAAAAATGTTCTTCTGTATGTTATGGATAAAATATGGTAATTGTAATAGTTAAAAAAAATTTATTTGATTTTTGGAGATCAGCAAGTGATCTCGTCATTGTCATGCGACCCCCACTTTGGGAACCACTGACCAAGACTACCCACACTGCAAAAAATGCTTTTCTTACTTAGATTTTTTGTCTTGTTTCTAGTCCAAATATCTAAAAACTCTTAAATCAAGAATATTGTTTTAGACATGCAAAACATACTGCCTTGTTTTAGGATATAATATGCCAAAATTAGGTGAGTTTTCCCTTAAAACAAGCTAAATAATCTGCCAATGGGGTAAGCAAAGTAACCTTATGTCAAAAGGAAAAACAAGATTAATTTGCTTACCCCATTGGCAGATTATTTTGCTTGTTTCAAGGAAAAACCCCCCTAATATTGAGATAATATTTCTGAAAACAAGACAATATATTTTGCTTGCCTAGAAAATGTTTCTTGATATAAGAATTTTTAGATATTTGGATTAGAAACGAGACAAAAAATCTAGCTAAGAAAAGTATTTTTTGCAGTGCAGACCTACATTCATTTATTCATATATTCATTTTCAAACTTTTAAATTCTGAAAGGTCTCATAATTTAGCAGATGTGTCCAAAATGTGACTGTATTATCATTAATTGTAACAAATTATCCAAAGATATATACCTGTAGATGTAAATTGGATGACTTCATTTTCTCCACAGTAGATCCCAGCATGAAAAATCTTTTTACCAGGAGAAAGCACTCTCCTCAGAATGAGGTCTCCTTTCTTCAGTTTTGAGAGATCATTATGACTAAAATGATCACCTGAAGATTTTATTACAAGGTCAAAATCCTTGTCGCTGCCACTGATAGCCAGATTTATCATAGCCCGGTCCATTCTTATCTAAAAAACATCTTTAAGAAATAAATATTCATGTTGCAATATTAAAATGATTGTGTATTGATTTTAAGTTACAGATATATACATAGTTATATTTATAAAATATTTTATAAATCTGAAAAAAAATATGAGGAAGTAAGAATATACTCACAAACTTGCTGTGAAAAGACAGTAGTTCAGCAGAGCACAGTGTTATGACTGTAAGGTTTTCAAAGAGCAATCCTATGCATACTGTTGTATACTTCCAGTTTTACTCTTCTTGTGGGTGGGATAATGAAACCAAAACCAAGTTCTTGTGAATGAGTTGTAGAAAATATAAACATAAAGTTAGAGGTGACTTACTTGTGACCTAACAACCTAAATAATGTGAAAGGACAAAGATCGCAGGAGCAGAAACAATTATTGATTTAAAGTATTTACTGTCATTTCTTTACATTCCCATATTTCCTTACATTTTCAGAGCTATTAACTATTATTTTATATTCTCACGGGAAAAACTCCAAACAATTTACTATTATCTTTATAATAATAAGTACAACAGCTTGTTTTAGACACATAATCTGTGAAAACTGAAGCTTTGAAAATCACTTTTAGCCACATCCTGTTTTCTGTCTGTGTAATAGGAGACAAAAACTTGTAAAATCATGCAAATTAATTTGCAAAATCAAATAATATGCAAAATAAGACTGAAAGATCTACCAAAAGCCCATGTATTAACACCCATGAAACCAATGTTTAACTGTACTAATGTTTGCGAGAAGTTTGTTTTAAAACAGTAACGTAGAAAAAAAACAATGATGTCATTTGATATTAATATATTTTTTATATTTACATTGAGTCATTTTATCCAAAGCGACTTACAAATGAGGACAAGGAAGCAATTTACATAACTATAAGAGCAACAATGAATAAGTGCTGTAGGCAAGTTTCAGGTGTGTGAAGTGTAAGAAGGAAAGTGTTAGTAATATAAGTTGTTGTTGTTGTTTTTTTTTGTTTTGTTTTTTTTGTATTACAGTTAGCGGTGGAGCCAGAGAGGCAATTGCAGATTAGGAAGGAAAGTGGAGACTAAATAGTTGAGTTTTTAGTCGTTTCTTGAAGACAGCGAGTGACTCTGCCGTTCTGATGCAGTTAGGGAGTTCATTCCACCAACTGGGCAGATTGAATGCGAGAGTTCGGGAAAGTGATTTCTTCTCTCTTTGGTATCGAACCATGAGGCAACGTTCATTCACAGAACGCAAGTTTCTGGAGGGCACATAAATCTGCAGAAGTGAGAAGTGAAGCCCAAAAGCTCTCAGCACTCGTGTTTCGATAGGGAGACCGGCATAAATCAACTGAGAAGCAGAGTTGGAGGAGATCCACCATCATTCAGTCTGTCTGTGGAGAAACAAGACATCACAATCAACTTCTCAATCAATACAGAAAATTGTGAACACAGTTGTTATTATGTATTTGTATTATGATGTCCGCATCAAGAAAATTGACTGAAGCTGTAAAAAAAAAGTAAAACCATGCAGTTAAATTGTCTGCACTGTAAAAGTGAAACAACATAGTAAACCTGACACAATAAGACATCTAATTATATTGTAAAGGATTTCATTGAATGATTATTGATTTAAAAATGTCTGAAAATATTTTAATATATAAACTATTGTTATACTGAATTACATTTTAGTGCTGTTTTGTAATTCATGGTAAAATGTACGGTAGTCTTTTTTTGCTCAGAACTGTACTTAAACCATTAATTCATGTACAACTATTTATTCATTCATTCATTTTCCTTCGGCTTAGTCCCTTTATTCATTAGGGGTCGCCACAGTGAAATATCCAGCATATGTTTTACACAGCGGATGCCCTTCCAGCTGCAACCCAGTATTGGGAAACATCCATGCACACTCATTCACACACTCATATGGCCAATTTAGTTTATTCAATTCACCTATAGCACATGTGTTTGGACTGTGGGGTAAACCGGAGGACCCAGAGGAAAACCTACATCAACATGGGGAGAACCTGCAAACTCCACACTGAAATGCCAACTGGCATAGCCGGGACTTAAACCAGTGATTTTCTTAACACTTAGCCACCATGTTGCCCCTTATGTACAACTAATACTAATTTATTTATTACTTTACAAGTTTCCTATACTAAAGCAGTGCTGAATGTACCTTTTACTGTAAAGCAATCCAAAAATGTAGTGAACCTGGGAAACTATCTATGTGCCACTGAACCACACCTATTACCCTCAAAACTCAAATAAACCAGTTTATCTACTACCCAAAACAATACTTATCTTTTTTTCCAGTAAAATGAAAGAGAAAGAGTTTGTGAGCTCTCCTCTTTTAATTAATAAGCATGTTGCAGATCCTGACTCTGAAAAGCAGCTTCAAAATATTTTGAATGAGCTCCAAACACTGAAGAAGGATCAGAGCATTAAAATATTTATTTCTCATTAAAAGTGGGATTGTATGTATGCATAAAAGGACAGAACATTTAAAAAGTTCAATATGTTTGTTTACACTGATATATACAGTTGAAGTCAGAATTATTAGCCCCCTTAAAAAAAAATCTTTTACATTTTTTTTCCAAATGATGTTTAACAGAGCAAGGAAATTTTCACAGTATGTCTGATAATATTTTTTCTTCTGGAGAAAGTCTTTTCGTTTTATTTCAGCTAGAATAAAAGCAGTTTTTAATTTTTTAAACACCATTTTAAGGTCAAAATTATTAGCTCCTTTAAGGTAATTTTTTTCTCGATAGTCTACAAAACAAACCATTGTTATACAATAACCTGCCTAGTTAACCTAATTAACCTAGTTAGGCCTTTAAATGTCACCTTAGTCTGTATAGAAGTGTCCAGAAAAATATTTAGTAAAATATTATTTACTGTCATCATGACAAAAATAAAAGAAAGCAGTTATTAGAAATGAGTTATGAAAACTATATATATATATATATATATATATATATATATATATATATATATATATATATATATATATATATAAATGTGTGCTTTTTTTCTATTAAACAAATTGGGGGAAATATACAGGGGGGCTAATACTTCTAACTGTTTTTATTTTTTGCTTAAACAGGACAAATTTTAAGAAAATATGGAAGCAATAGGAGTATAAATTATATATGAGCAATATCACACTCATAGCAGTGCGATATGGCTGTATATTGGCACTAGTGGCACGTGTTGGCTCAAGGCTGCAGGCCGAGTGCCTTTGTGTCCCACAAGTGACAATATACAGCCAAATCGCACTGCTACGAGTGTGACATTGCGTTTATACAACGGTTCAATGGCACAATCGTGTATATAAAAAAAGAAAATCAAACACGGAGAGTCTCAAGATCCTTTTGTATGCGGAAATACTTTCTTCTGTCATTCATTCACATCTGCAGGTAACGTCAGAACAGCAGATTTTAAAACAACTGAAGAGATAGTGGTCTGAAAAGTGAAAATTGGTTTGAAATGTGGTTTACTCATTCATCAACGTCACTGTGGAGCTAGTCAGCGCTATCCCTACCAGATTACTGTTGTATTTGCGAGAAGTAAAAAAGCTAAACACATGCATTAGACGCATTAGAAACAAACAGATGGCCAACAAAAAAGTAACTCAGGGTTATATGAAGAGTGGCTAAAAAAAATACATACATTCCTGTTTTGTAAGTCACATCCCACACTCAATACACTACAATTATATGGTATAAATACAGCACTGCAACATACAAAAAGAGAGAGATCGGCCAATTTTATAATGATATGATCAGCTGTGGTTTAAAAATACCAACCTTTGCACCTCTAAGGGCTTATGGGGTCTGTCGCCATCTTACGGCTGGACAACCTTAACTGTCTTTGCTCTGCTCAATGACAGGCGGATGATTTTTTTTTGGATTAAAAAATTTTAAATAGGCACTATCCTTATAAATAAACTGCACAGTTGCAAATACATTCTCGTCTAAAAAAGTCTCAAAAGTACATTATGTTTTCCAAAAGCTGCAATATTTGTCACACTGTAGTGAGCTTATTCATCTGCATTCTATACGGGAGGAGTAATACAGAAGGGTGAGGAGGCAGTGCAAGGCTATCAGCCAATCAGATTCGAGAACCAGACAGAACTGTTGTGTATACTCACTCGCGTGAGTCACTGTTTAGATGTACCTTAATCTATGTGTGAATTGCTGCCATTAATAACATTTAAGAATGTACATTTTAGGCCTAGTACAAAATGTATTTTTTCACAAAACGCGATATCCGCCTGAGCAGTTTCTTTACAAAGTGCGATATAAAGGATAACGTTCATGATGCTGCCCGAGCTCAGCATCCCCTGGGAAGAGAGTCACAGCCGGTGAAGTGCTCCGAGTTTGCTCATTGATTTAGCGATAGAAGATGAAGCCTCCAACTTAACAAAAATGTATAAAAACACTACAAAAGTGGACCCGAATACTGCGTCTATCAACAATACACAAATGCAGCGGGGTAGTCTCCGCTGATGTCAATTAAGGGGAAGGCCAGGGAGCGCCTTTTTTCCTGTGCTCATACCTATCACAAGATACCTGTCTGTAAGGCGACATTTCTAAGTCTCCTTTGTACGTTTATTTTTAAAATAATTTCTTACATGTAGCTAAATAGCCTATCTGAAGATTTATTTATGTGGTTGTGCCTATTATTTATATAAGTTCATTCTTGTTGTTATTTTTTTTATAAGGGAACATAAAGGGCACAGGTTGTTATGGAGAAAAATAAACGGTTTTGCTTTTTCACAACAACCAATAAATAAGCTATTATTATTATTATCATCATTAATATTGTAACTACAGTAAAATAATTCATTAATATGACAGGGCGAGGCGAGCTTGTGTCGCGGAGAACTGTGACACCGCGGCTCTGCCTGCTCATACAGGTTTGGTTTTCAGCACCGATGTGAAGGAGCCTCCCCTCTTTCTGTAACAAGCTACAAGTCGTTTATCTAACTTAATCTTGCTTATCAAACAAAACATTGATTCCCTAGCTTTTCTTAATGGTATTACTGTAGTAGAATGTAGCCTAAGGTGGATATAGTGTTTTGCCAAAAAATAATAATAAAAAGTTGTTATGTTGTGTTGTGTACATTCTGGCCAAATCCAACTCAGAACCGTATTATTATTAATCAATCTTTGTATATATTATTCCATATATTTATCATGTATAGTTTTTTAACCAATTAAAGATGTCTGACAATGTTAAGATTAATATGTTGCATTTTGGCTTGGTTTTTGACTTATTTATGAACTATTTTTGGACATTAAGTTAAATAAAAAATATACTGGATTTGAAAATATTGTATTCCTGGCCTTCACTGAGCTCAAGTAATAGTTTAATGTATAAAAATTGTGAATGAACTTGACTGTTGATGTCTTAAATCTTAAATAATAACCAACCAACCAATAATAACCAAACAACCAACACTTTTCAAAATGGATATATCTCGTTTTGCAATTAAACTCTTCATATATATATATATATATATATATATATATATATATATATATATATATATATATATATATATATATATATATATATATATATATATATATATATATATATATATATATATATATATATATATATATATATATATATATATATATATATATATATATATATATATATATATATATATATATATATATATATATATATATATATATATATATATATATATATATATATATATATATATATATATATATATATATATATATATATATACATATATATATATATATATATATATATATATATATATATATATATATATATAT